CTTATTTTATGTTATTTCACTTTGCTTAAAATCCCATAGAAATTGGTTCTGTAGACCACACTTAGGGAATCTATGCTTTATTTTATATTTTATTTTATTATTAGCTTAATTATTTATACTTCATCTGTCCTAGAAAGTCTTGCTAGCAGAGCTCCAGGCTGGTAGAAAGAAGCCCATCTTAAAGGCTGCCTTAAACCATCTATCTCCACATAAGGAGTAACTGACAATTCTGTTAGTGTGGGTTCATTAAGCGTGGTATCTTGAACCTAGGCCTCACCACCAGGCTACCCACCTGGTCACGCAGCTTGGTACACATAATTTCTTTGGGGACTTCCCCATGGATGCTCCATCTTTTGGAGGAAGTAGGCTCTCACTGGCAGCCCATTCAACAGGAAAAGGATCCCTGACCTTAAATTTACAAGCTCACTATTTTTGTTTGGAGCGGGCTCCATCACAGCTATTTCCCAGACACCTAAACCAGCATTTCCCTGGGTCCATTCCATGGAATATTCATTTAGTATAAAGCTCAAAGAAAAAAGGGTCCCATTATCAAGAAGACTGGGAAACTGCATATTTAGTTTCCTTTTGAAGAATCTCATTTTTCTTTAGGATAGAAAGACTCGTGTAATTAAGAACCCCAATTAAGTTCACTTACCCACTTTTCCCAAATTAATTAATTTATTTTGTTTATGTAAAACCTTTCTATCCCAAAAGGTCTTCATTCCAGGCAACACATTCTGGGACTACTGGGCAAGGCTCTTCTAGGTCTGCAGCAGATACTGGGCTGATCTGATGTGACTAAAAGGAGGAAGCACAGGCTTGCCCATGACCGTTGCCAGCCAACCATGGGAAAACATGCCTGAGCACAGAATCTCCACTCTTCCAGTTACAGGCTTCAAATTACTTTACCCATCTCACCCCTGTGTTCTTTATATTTTAAGTGGAGAATATAAAACCTACTCTATAGTATTCATTTGAGGATTTGAATGATTCATAGGTGGCAAGCTGCTAAAGATGAGGCATAGTGCAGAATAGGTTTTAGATAAAATTGAAATCGCTTCTCCATAGTGTTTCAGGACAAGGGTGATACAGACTGAATTTGTAAAAAACACGGGAGATGGGCTGTGTACTAGTTATGCCAACTCCTAGAAAGGAAAAGTTTGACTCTCCTGGGATAGAGGTAATAGACTATAAAACCAAAGGGGTAGGGCCATGCTCAGGTCTTTTTGTGTGCATGCCAAGAATATTCCTAAGGGAATCTTTGTGAACTTAACACCTGCATACTCATCCTGGCCCTGCTGCTGACAAAGCTGTGACCTTGGGTAAGTCACTTCTGCAGGCCTCACTTTCTTCACCTATAAAAAGAGGATTTGAACTACATACCTCTCTGGGTGCCCCCCACCTCAGATTTATGTGGAGCTAAAGTCAGGTTATTTATTTTCCATCAACCCAGGTTGAAGAGGTGCTGGTCAACTTAAGGATCAGCTGATTTGCACTGAAAATGTTTTTCAAGGATTAGAGTAAAAAAGAGCTGTGAAATACTGTGCTCCTGTGTGATGCTTCCCGTTTTAATGCTTTCTTATCCTGAGAGCATATTTTAAAATTTTCAAATGTAAATTATTCAAGTTATTCACACCACACAACACCTGAACTTAGAACGTGCCCGTGTAACTAAAGTGAGTCATCAGCCCATTATTAATTATCATTCAACCATCCCTATTCCTTTGGAAAAAGGAGAATATTAGTAACAACCAGAGTCTGAGTCGTTTAAGCAGAGGCAGCTCTAAACAAGTTGGCAAGCCCTCTAGCTGTGCCCACAAATATTCCAACAGCTGTAACCTGTGTGTCTTGCTCTTATCTACACCTGTGTGCACATGTAAACATACAGACACACATATGTACCTGGAAGTGTGCACACTCATGTTTATACACACTGTCAGTGGCTGCCTAATTCCCTGGCGACACCTACCAGTTCCCTTGGGTGGGTGACAATCTCACTGAACCCGTTTCCCTAACAGTAAAACTAAAGCCCTTCACGGTACCTAGGGGCTCTCCCAGCCCTGACATTTCGTGTCGATCTTTGCTTAGATATTCTTTAGCAGAAACGTTGGAGACATGTTCAAATACATTATCTCATGTAAGTCTTAAAAATCTTCCAGCAAGTCTTTTTGTTATTATAATACTTATTTTAACAGATGAACAAATGGATTCACTTACTTAATGCATCATGTGCATAACAAGGGGCAGTTACAAGCTTAGAAACTGGGATCTTTATTCTCTATCTAATCAGCGCGGTCTGCAATTGACAACCTTGTGCTCGCTATTTCTTCATCCAGAATGGTCCTCACTGAGGTGGGGGGAGGGTATTATATGGGGCAGCCCCCTAAATTATCTCTTCTTCTTAGCCAGGAGAATCTGCTTTGGGTTGGAAGGCAGGTTGCAGGCCACCCATGGGCCAATGACAGTTCCGATGGTAATTAAGATGTTACAGGTGACTAGATACAGTCTGAACAAGTGGGTGTTGTTAGAGCCATGGGGCCCTGGTGTGACCGTATGAGCAGCCTGGTTTGCGACAAAGAGAGATTTTCTCAGCAGGTTAACTACTCCCATGCAGCCATCTCCAGACCTACTCCCACCACTCCCACTCCCCAAGCAGAGCCCATAACTCCTATTCCACGAATGAAGCCCACGATGCCCTAATAATCTGAGGAAAGAGACAGAGGTTGTATGGTATAAAACACAGCCACTCCAGTCGGCCCCAAGTCTGCTGCATGTGAAGATGGGGTAGGGTGGGGATAGTTTGGCTTGACAAGGATTGTGGGACTCTTTAACGTATCTGGCACAAAAACAAGTCATAATATTGAAATCAAACCTATTCAGAGGAACCCATAAAATATTAAGGATCAGAGTTTCACCCACTTTATAGAACATGAACTTGTAAAGTCTTTAGCTTTGCACAGGATAGCCCACTCAACTGATTCAGGTGCAGGTATAACTGAACACATCTTTGTCCCTGGAATCCTTGTCCACAGAAAACTATAAATACAAATGAATTCAGAATTGAAGGGCTGATATTCATTGTTATCTCAGCCAAAGGGAAATTTTTTCACTTTCATTTTTATTTTTTATAAGAAACCTTTTTATTGACTTATCATATACAGAAAGAAAAGTGCAGATATCCTAAATGCAGATATCACAACTTTTAAAAATTAAGACTTCATATTTTTAGAGCAGTTTTAGGTTCACAGAAAAATTGAGAAGGTATAGAGGTTTCCTATATACCCCCTACCCTGACTCATGCATAGCCTCACCCATTACCAACTTCCCCCAGCAGAGTGGTACATTCGTTACAGTTGATGAACCTACAGTATCAGTCCATACTCTACATGGGGGCTCACTCTTGGTTTTGTACATTCTATGGGTTTAGACAAATGTATGATAACATATATCCATCATTATAGCACCACAAAAAATATTTTCACTGCCTTAAAAATCCTCTGTGCTCTGCCTATTTACTCACCCCCCAGCATGATTTTTTTATAAAGTGAACATCCTTGCAACCAGCATCCAGAAGCCAAACATTATCACTATCCTCAAAGACTCCTCTTGTGTTTCCTGCCAGTTACTCCTTGCCTCCTAGGATAACCACGATCCTGATTTCTGCCAGCATGAGTCAGTTATGCTGGATTTTGTTTCTTACATAAGTATAATTATATAGGAGATACTTTATTGTGTTCTGGCTTCTTTCCCTTGACTTAAATTTGTGAAATTTTTGTATGTAGTTGAAGTTTTAACCAGGAGTTTTAATCCTTGAATTCTAATTCAACAAACATTATTCAACCAGGAACTGTGCTCGGGGCTGGAGACACAAAAGCAAATAAGGATAAGTCCAAAAGCAAATAAGGATAAGTCCTTGCTCTGAGGAATATTCAACCTAGCAATGTACTAACGCCCGGAATTTAATGTAGAGTGAATTCCTCTTTGTTTAACAAATATTTACTCGGTGTCCACTATGGGGTGGGCAGTATTACAGGTGCTAGGGATAAGCAAGGAGCAAGCAGAGGACGCTTCTAGTAGAAATCCTGTTTTATTTCCCTGACGTGTGTGGGCAAGTCCTGCTCACTGGTCCCCGCTTCCCACTCTGCTTTGCACCTGATGCAACATTCGGGGAGCTAGTGAGAGAAGCGGCTTCTTCTGGTGGCTTGAAGCGCATGATTATGAAGCCGCCGGTCCACCCACGGGACAGTTGGCAAACCAGTGAGCATGGGAAGAATTTCTCTGTATCTATTTCTGCCCTATCCCATTATTGCCATCCCTGATGCTGTCTACCCAGAATGAAACGAAAACCTGGAGCCTCGGGAAGTCTTTGGATGTTAACTTATCTTGGAGTGAGGCCACACAATCTTCTTGTTTTCCAGAATCATGAAATAAGAAGAGGCGATTGCCAAAGCTGTGACTAAAATCATAAGCCTAGGGAAGTAGGTCCCTGCCCCATTGAGCTGTGATACCTCGTAGTAGATGTACCATTGTAACTGGTTCTATGAACATCAGCTAACTTCCTTCTTTGAAAATAGAACAGGCCGCTTTCCTAGGTTTCCCAGGCTTAAAACCCTGAAGCACCATTGTTTGGGCTGGTCAGAATGTTTCAGAAGTTTTTAGAGTAAAAGGAAAGATTCTGTTAGTGTCTATTTCATGAAAATGTGTAAAATGTTGATTTGGCTGTCATATTGCCCAAATTGGATCTGAAAATGTTACCCAGGACATGTGACATCCATCCCTGTGAGGAGTGGGGCACAAAGCCCCCCTTCCTGGATGAGCATTTGGTGAGGAGATAATTGGGGATTTAAAAAAAGCTACAAAAATGACCTGAAGAGCGCTTTAGAAGGCAGACATCAGCCATTTTTCATACACAACTCCCACTCGCTTCTCTGAGAGCTAAAGCAGCATAAATTGGCAGTCTGTCGGTTTAACCATTTTCATTGTGTACTTTTTCTGGGCAGGTTATTCACATCGAACTCCTTTGATGTGATCAGTGATGATGCTTTTATTGGTCTTCCACATTTAGAGTATTTGTAAGTAAAAAAGAAAAACATCTTTTTCAACATGATGATTCAGGATAAGTGCTGTCGGATTCCTACAGCTGTCTGACAAAAATATTATAACCTATTGCAGATTCATAGAAAACAACAACATCAAGTCCATTTCAAGACACACTTTCCGGGGACTAAAGTCTTTAATTCACCTGTAAGTATGAATGTTGCTATTACTTCTTAAGTTTGCTAATAACCTGTGGTTAAAGTGAGCACTTTGTGGGTATCCATGAAAATTTAAGAAATCTCAACGATTTCTCTCCATGCACACTTGCATCTCTCCCTGTTATCAGCCAGTGTGTGTCCAGGAAATTGATTACTATTAATATGATGAATCTAAACCAACCATACTTAAGAAAACAATCTAATGCAGGGCAATTGTGTGACTGAAATGACTTTCTTATTATTTAAATCATTACTCACTTCATGGATAATTATGGGTTGACTGTATAGCTTAATTTGATATTTGCTATTTTTCTTTTTCTGTATATGCCTTGACTTTATGTACATTTAAACATATATTATAACCACAGGCAGTGTGTACACAGTACCTGACTTGTCTATAAATTGAAATATTTAATCATTCAAAGGGTGATTAGAGTCCATTGTTGTTAGCAGGAGGCAATTTTGCTTCTTAGGGAACATTCAGCAATATCTAGAGACATGTTTGGTTGTCAAGACTGGGGAGTGTAACTGCATCTAGTAGGTGGAGGCAGCGATACTTCTGAGCATTCTTCAGTGCACAGAACGGCCCCCATAACAAAGAATTATCCAGCCTAAAATGGCACAGTGCTGAATTTGAAAATCCTGATCAACACAAATTAAATAACTTGTTTCTCCTATTCTTCCCTCCCCGCCCTACAGACACACACACACACAAACACAGATGTATTCTTCAGGAAACTAGAAGGACATGGGGGGAAAGGCACTAACATTTATTAAGTGACTACTATTATGTTGGTCATTATGTTTTACATGAATTTTCGTTTAATCTTCTCAACAGTCCTGCCAGATAGGAACAATAATCCCCATTTTAGAAATGAGGAAACAGAGAGTTGGAGGAGATATATAACTAGTGAACTGAGTAGTTATGGAATTATGATAACAACAACTCAATAGTTGAACTGCAATGCCTATTCATTCATTCAACAACTGTTTCTCAGTGCCTACTATGTGTCTCATTAGTGTTAGATAAAGATGCAAGAGATCTAAGTGCCATCCTTCCAGCTTGAACCTGTTCCCTCCCAACACCTCATTCCCAGCTCTGTTCTAGGCCCCAGGTGCAGCAGGAAACAAAGCAGACAACAGTGCCTGCCCTTTGAGTCTACATCCTAGCGTGGCATGTGGTCATCATGCTACCTCTACCAGGCCCTATCTCTACTGCTGTTTGGATCTGCAGCAAGGGGGAACTGATGGCCTGATGTATTTTATAAAATCATTATACTTTCCAAGTCTTCTGTATATAGTCATTACAATCAAAACAACATTTGCAGTGCTGCTCTGCATGCCAATGACATACTGTGATGCAAACATGGTTGTGATGGTGTGAATGTTTTGCCATATTGCCACAGAGCCAAACACTGCCAAACCTAATCTTTCAGACAAAAGTAAATAAAAGAAACAAATATATGGAAGGAGGAAGTTCATGACCTCCACTTGGAGATCTACTTGATTCACATAAATCCCATTCAACATAGCCTCTGTCCATTTGTCCTCCCTGGGGACCCATGATGTAAGCTTTGCCAAATTCACTCAAGTCTATCTACGTCATCAGGCAGGGATGAAAGGAAGGAAGGGTGGAAGAAAGGGAGGGAGGGATAAAGAAGGGAAGGATTAAGAGGGAGGAAAGGAGGAAAGAAAAACATCTCTGCACACCCTGAAAAGAATATCCATTTGTTTGACTAGAGCCTATTACATCTCTCAAATGAAATGAGAATTTAAATTTGGGTCATAACGGGCCCTTTCTTTGGAGGTATGAAGACGATAAGAAAGGGACACTAGCACAGCATGTACTTAATAGTTAGAAATTTTTAAGTTCAAGAGAACACCAAAGGCAGGCTTAAAAGAGAGAGGCATGAATCTTAAGGGTAAAGCAGACAGGGAAAGGGAAGTCGCACCTTTCCGACCAGGTGCTGGAGGTGGGAAAGAGGTATTATAGGAACAGGTTAAAACTGCCTGAGTGAATATGACCCTTACATCTCTTGCATCTTTATCTAGCACTTGGGGGTTGATTCCTATGGCATTGCCAATATTAGACTGTTTTTATCCGTAAAAATGGCAATGCCATATGGTTCATCCTAAAGAGTCTCTAGGACGTGCCACACAGCAATGAACAAGATCCAGTTCCAACCTGGAGGAGCTCAGTCTAAATATTTGAATTAGACAAATATTTTCTCCCTGAGTGCTTTTGTCCCCGAGTTCTTTATTTCTGCTCTTTTCTCCTTCCTTCCTTCCTTCCTTCCTTCCTTCCTTCCTTCCTTCCTTCCTTCCTTCCTTCCTTCCTTCTTCTTTCCTTCTTTCTTTTTTTCCTTTCAAGGAGAGATGGGTAGAGAGGATCTGAAGCCCAAATGTTCCTCTGACTGCTCAGTACATCAAGTTCATTTTCCATTAATTACCACTTATAAATAAATCTGACATTTGTTTGAGCCATTAACTTCCTTATTTAAGATTTTAGGTTTCAAAGTGCACTTTTCTCCACCTCAGACTAATCCTTCCCAAAAGCAAATACTCAAGCAGTGAGGAAGGATTGCCTCGCCCTCCAACCTGCATATGCTGCAGGAAGAGTTTACAGAACTTTTTCGTATTCTTGACCTCATTACAGTCTCCCGATGACCTTAAGAAAGAGACAGGCAGCAGCACTACCCCTGTTGACAAATAAGAACATAAAGGTGCACCCTGAGTTTAAGGAGCTCCCACTTTAGTAAGCAGGAAAGCCAGAAGCTTCCCAAGGTCTTTATCGAGCCATCTAGTGCCCTCTTCACCATGTCAGTTGTAGCAGGACCAGAAAGCTTTTATTGAGCTGGCGAGACCCTTCCACAGGACATGATTTGAGGAGCAAACATGGCTATGGAAGAAAGAAAAGATCCTGAAGACAGGAGCCCGACCTTGCTCTTAATTTCCAAATGCAAATAGTTGGAGTTATGTATATACCTTTAGATCCAACTAGTTCCCACTCTGGCCTAACAGTAAAGTTGATCCAAGGTCTTATACATCTGTCTCAGTAGACATATCTTCTAAAGAGACATTTACAGACAACTTAAAAATTACTATATGACCACCTTCCCCTCAAGCTAGCCCTTGATAAAGGGAGAGTTCTTAATATTTAAGCCCTTACAAAGCAAGTCAAATCCTGGGGCCTTCCCTTAATTACTTTATTTTGTATACTGTGTTAATTTTATATATGATTAACTTAAACAGTTGAATAGTTTATATATTTCAGTAAGGTTTGACTTTTTCTGGTTACCATGTATTACTTTTGAAATCAGGAAAAACTAAATTAAAAAATAGTTGAATGGCCAATGATGACAAAAATCTCTCAACATTAATTGGTTTCTGTTAATACCCATGAGTTTTTAGTAATGATTCCCTTGGGCATCCCATAAGTGTCACTGTGGTTAAGGCTCAATGGAGGCAGGACTTTTGCATGCATGTATAAAAATATTTGGGGAAAACTGTCATCAATCTATACATGCTATGGAGCACCTACTGGTTGCTCAGCACTGTGGGAGTACAAAATCCATAAATAGAAGTCCTCAAATTAAGGTACCTGTGTATTCCCAGTCAGGCAGCATGTCTTCATTTTAGACTTCACAGTGACATGCATGTAAAGAGGCAGTGTGACGTGGTGGCTAAGGGGATAATCTGTGCCACCAGACTGCCTGGGTGCAAAGCCCGGCTTTACCCCTTAACAACTATAGGACATCAGAAGTCACTTAGTCTCATTGCACCTCAGATTTCTTATGTGTAAAATGAAGGTGGTAATTATCATCTGTAAAAATGGGGGCCAGGATAATAATGTACTTAGAAGTACCTAGATCCTAAGGTTGTCATGAGAGTAAATGAGTTAATCTCTGCAAAGTGCTTAGAGCAGAGCCTGAGATGCAGTAAGCTCACTGCCTAACCTCTATTGGTCCTCAATCAGGATTCCAAATGCTGCAGTGTATTTATGCCCTTTAAACATTTTGTATGGAATTAAAATAACTGTGCTTGAAGCACCACAAATTCAGTGAGACACCAACTCAAACTGAGGATCTGCACTGCGGGGAGTCTGGGAGCACCCAGATGGTCGTGGGCAATGCTTTCTTAGCAGCAGCGCCTAGTGGAACTGAAACAAACGTGCTGTCTGAGCCAGTCTGGTCTGCCTTAGAGAGAAGACTTTCCAGTCGTTTCCATAGTCATAATCAGAGGTTTTCTCAGGTAAACTATGAAAACACCAAAGTAGAGGCGTGGTCATCATCTCTACCAGGAAGGCAAGGCTGCCATTGAGAATGCTTGAATCTTCTCAGCTGGGCTCAAGGCAACTAGATGTTCAGTTGGGCAGTTTTCTGGGGGAAATATTAAAGAATATTTCTTAGGTAGACTGTGAATCAGGACCTTGAGCAAGGTGCTTACTTAAAGACACGTTTTAAAGAGTTTCCCCGTTGCTTTGGAATTATTACCACAGTGAGGCTAAAAGGAGGGAGGGCACTTTGTAAGCAGAGGGCCTAGGTTACAGGAGGGTGGGTGACCATGGTAATTCACAGGGCTCTGCACTTTTTCCTTAGCTCAGTGATTTGGTACAAAGGGCCTAATAGAAGCATCCTCTCTTTTCTTTGTCTAGATTGGTGCCCTTCCTCTCCTCCACTCCAGCCTGCCCCATTCACTCATTCATTTCAAAGTATCTATTGAGGGCTTACTTTGTGCCAGGCACTGGGGATACAGTGGTAAGAATCCTTCCAGTATCACTACAGAATGACCCTTAAAAAATAAACAATGATGAAATGTTTCTCACTGCCTTGTCTCCACTCCTCTCCCAATCAGTCCTACCCACCCACCCCCTTCAGATATTCCAGTGCACTCCTAGCCCCTATAAATACCTGTGGTCAAACTCTCTGACTTATCTATGTGGCTTAAAGTATTATCTCTCCTAGTATCATCTCATTATTATTAAAGATGAAGCCATATTCCTCTCACAGTGAAAAGTATAAAGATGTGATTTAAGAGTTAAAATAGAGCTTCGAGATCATTCTGACAAAGTGACCATTCACTTCGTGGAAAGGGAAACAGCCAGAGCTCAAACCCAGATATGTCATCTGTGGTCCCTGCCATTTGCACCACACTGCGCTGCTGAGTCCAGGGAGTCTTGAAACCAAGCTGATGGGCAGAGGGTTAGCTTGGGCAGTAGCCTGGTTTCCTTCAATCATACCATGTAGAAAGTCTTTTCTTGGCAACTCTCGTAGCCCCCTCTATGTTCTTGCCTTTCTCTCCTTCATTATTCTAACTCTTATTCCTGATAGAACTCGTACTCAGTTTCAATATCCAGCACTGACTTGACCCTCACCCAGCAAAAAGACTTGCAGAGCAAGGAGCTCTCCCACACCAATTCAGGCTTACACTAGAGGAGAGAGGGGAGGTCTGAAGACTTGGGTAGATGGCTCTCTGGAAATACTTGTTTTCCACATTAATGTCCCCATGAGATGGGCTTTGTATTAATGATTAAAAGAAAATATGGTGAAATCTTAACAGTGGTTGCCTCTGCCAGGATAATTATTGTTTTTCTCCTTTAAAAATGTTTTTTTGTACTTGTAAAATTTTATTGACATGAATAATGATATTAGTTATTACTTATGTTTGTGTGTATATATGTATGTGCAGTATGTTATATATGTGTGTGTATATACATCAGCAATAAAGAAGTATCATAGTGATGTGTTACTGATGTATATACACACATATATCAATAGATATAGACAGAAACAGTAAAAGATGGGACATTTTAGAATACAAGGCTTAGAGTTCTCTCTACTCAAAAAGACAGAAAGAATAGGTGATCTCAGCTTCCTGAATTGAGCATTTAAAGGTGCTTAGGTATTAAATATGACTGGTTTTGACAACAATTTCAAAGAAAAAGATTAATTTTATGGTCTTGATTATCTGACATAAGGCTTAAAAATTCACCTGCAGATACAAAATTTACCTGGAATCCATTTCAAAGGTATGTGTATAAAAATACTCACAGCTGTATGTGTTAATTTTCACAATAAATGAAAGAGGTATTCTTTACTCAGTTTTGCAGATGTCAAGACAGAAACCTAAAGAGGTTAAATTAAGTTGGCTCAAGCCACCTTCCTGAGAGTGATGAAGCTGACTGTGATAATCATTTGCATTCCAGCCTGGAACTTTGGAACTTTATGAATGCAGTCAGATGACGATTTAGATTGACTGAATCCTCACTGGACAGAACCATTACGTATACAGAGGGGTTCTGTTAACAATTCAATGTTATTCTTTGTTTTTTCTTAATTTAAAATAATAATACCTGCTTGATAATGAAAAACTCTCACTATCCAGGCAGCTACATAGCCAAAGTGAAAGATTCCAGCCACTCCACAATGTAAGCTCCATCAATAGTTTTTATACCTCCTTCCAGACCTTTATGCATCTATAGACATATACCCTCCCTTCCTTGTGGGTTTACAGTCTATATAGTAATCTTTGACTTCTTCTTTTTTTCACTTGAGCATCATTTCACGTCAAATCATAGAGATCTACATCATTTTAAAAAATCTCCTGCAAAACATTTCATGTTAAGTATGAACTATCATTAATTTACACAATCCCTTACTGATGGACATGTAGGTTGCTTCCAATTTTTGCTACTCTAGCAATGCTAGATTAAATATTTTTTCCCAATTGTGCAGTGGGCCTCTAACATTTCCAATTTCTCTTTCCTTGGGAATTGGTAAAAACTCCTGACCGGTCACAGCAAATATATGTGTGGGGGCATTTCACATTCCTTTTCTTAACTTTGCAGGCTCTGATGATCCCTTTCTACGTGTCCAGTGCACCCTTCACCAAGTACCTATCAACATGTACCAGAGGTTGCTTTATATCAGGGCCCTGTTACATTTTTTGCAGAGTAATTCCCAGGCTCTTTCAGCATTCCTTTCCTAAGACAATCTCGGCCCACGTCCCTGCTGCCTGCTTTCTTCTTTTCCAAATGTAACCCAATGCCACTGAGGCCTCCAAGAGACATAGGAAAGCTGTCTAAACTCCAATTCATTGGGCATCCAGAAGCCTCCTTCTCATTTCTGAGTCTTTCTTCCTCCTGTTTCTGCTTCTTTTATAAGTTCAGGCAGGCTTCTCGTGCCTACCCCTCAAAACCTGACATGAAGCTCCATCCTATCTCCTTGAGAAACAGTCCATTGAGTAAGTGTTTAATTGAATTTTAATGATGGAACAAGGAAGGGGTTTGACTGAGTGCAGTAAATCCATCCACCGTTCTCCCCTCTGGCACCCCTCATACTGCGCTGCCTCCTCCACCCTCTGGTTCCTTGGGTGAGAGCCTTCTAGTCACAAGATGTCCTCTAGAAGCACAATGCCTCATTTTAGAGCCCATCAGTCTAGCCTGTCTTCATCAGCCCCATTTCCCAAATCCGTTGGTCATAAGTCCATCTTGTCATGAAAAATTCCCATCTCTCTACTCCCGAAGCCCCAAGCTCCAAGTCTCTATCTCCGACCATCTCACCAGCTGCTTCTGTGGGCAGCCTTCACGGGGGTACGTGAGGCCTAGAGCTCTGCTCCTCTGGGTAGGAAATGGAACTCCTAGATCCCCCATTGCTTAAAAGAACCGCCTTGGGCAGCATGGCAAACAGAGTGCCTCTTCCTATGCAGCCCTACTGGCAGCAGTAATTCAGGACTTGCTGTTTCATCATTTCATGCCCACTGTCCTATGACCCAGCCTCCTCCAAGCTCGTGCCCTGCAGCCAACTGCAGTGTGTGCTGGCTTCTGGGGGAGGATGTCCACTGAGGAGAAGTTAGCATGAGAACTTTAACACACATTGTGCCAGATAATAAATTAAGACACAAACTTGGGAGTGAGTCTGGACTGGTCTAAACCATCAGGAAATCTCTTCTTTCAACCACTAAGCAGTAAGGTGAGTTACGGACACATCCTCTTGAATAGTCTTCTCTGGCAGCATTTTATTAGTACTGCATACGTAGGTGGACAGTCTTAGCAGTTATTAGGATGGTCAGTTTCCTCAGTGCTGTTTCTTGGGCAGTGGACAGGCAGAAGCCCGTTTCCTTCTTTCCCTCCCTTCCTCCTCCCAGCTGCCCTTTGAACGTAGTCCAAAAGCAAGAGTCCATCCTGAGTAATCTCATTTACTTTTTCTAACAACCTATGGCATGAAGTATTATTCTTCCACTTGAAAATGAAAAGATTGAGTCTCAGAGAAGACGCATAACTAAAATCACACAACCAGGAACCAGTGGCCTCAGAATTCAAACCAAGCTCAGAATGACTCCAAATCCCTGCCCTTCCTCACAAAACAGACTGTCACTGAGACGGGAACATTCTGACTCAGTTCCCATTCTTATGTGCCAAGGTTCATTGAAAAAGTTTTCCAATCTAGTTGTAATTTCCAAAACTCAGAAAAACAACGTAATTAACTTAAAAATGGGTTTTAAATGTCCTGAATGTTTACACTTGAGAAATCTCATATTAATTAGAGGAGGTGGAAGACATAGAAGACTTTTGAGAGCGTTTTTAAAGACAATTTAAATTTTCAAGGGTTTTGGAGGCTGACAGCATACGCTTTTTTGTTTTACTTTTTATTTTTATTGTGGGGAAAAACACTCCTAAGAAAAGTATATAAAACATGAATATGTACAATGATAATTAAAAAATAGAAAATTACCAGTACCTAGATCCCTTCCCCATCAGACAGCATCTGCAATATGGACACATTTCCCTTCCCTGGATATTATCAGGACTATTTCCTACTCTTTGGCCTTAATTAGGATCATTCTAGTGATCCAGGGAGAACAAACGGAAGGAGAAAGAGAAAACAGTTCCTGTGCTAATAGGGCAAGAACTGGAAGAGAGGGGAAGGAAATGATCAAAGAGGGTCGGTGGACGGATGGTGGGTATTTGTAAGAAAGCTGTTTTCTGAGGTGGAATGAATGGAACTGAAAGGGAAACAACGTAGAAAAAGGAGGCATGTACTTTGGAAAGAAGAAAGAGTGTACAGGTGAAGGGATAGGTTAGACGGGCCCCCAAACTCTGGACTGTTGGCTCTGTCAGCTGGACGTTTAGCTGCCTCTGGAGCAAGTGAGGAGGGAGGGAAGAGAAGGGGCAGCCTGTGGGTGAGGGGAGAGGGCATTTGGGGATGCACGCTATCACAGGTTTAGTCACTATCTGTGAGATCCCCTGGACTGAGTGTCTGAGCGTGTGAATCTCTCATCTGTTCTAAACAGAAAGATCAATTCCCAAACATGATTTTTGCTGGTATTTGGGGGAGGGCGGTAACCACCGACACATGAAGTGCCACTGAGTGAGTGTTGAGAAGAAAGTAAGCCAGGAATTGAAAATACAATCGCAGGAGGCTGATTAGTATCTTAGAAGGAGCATGGCAAGTAATTTAGTATAGTCTGGGAAGAACAAAAGGGACTCATAACTAAGCTTTATTATAAAATACATTTATTTAGTTTATGACTACAGTTTACTCTTTTTCTTTCCTCCCAGGAGCCTTGCAAACAACAATCTCCAGACACTCCCAAAAGATATTTTCAAAGGCCTGGATTCTTTAACAAATGTGTAAGAGGACCTGATTGATTAACTAATTTGCAATAGTTTACAAAGAAGCCTGGTATTGATAATTAAATTTTTTAATTGGCTTTAAAATTAAATTAGAATTTTAGAATTTAAGTTGGCTTGACTTTTAAATTCATTTGGACTAATGTTTGTCTTGTATGGTATTTATCACTGAAATTACGAAAATATAATGCCCAGACATTCCTTTGACAAAGTGTGTGTCTACATGGAGAGGAGTGATGATAAGGGACTTTGACGGGGTGGGAAGAGGGGGCCTAGATAGGAATCTCTAGATGCTGTTTTTCCCATGAGGTCCAGGAAATGGGACTACAAAGGAAAAACATAAAGGAGTCTGGGAAACTGACTGAGTAAAGATGAAAGGTTACACCCAGGGTTGGTCAGTCAACAGAAATGGAGCAGGAAGTGGGGGAAGGGAGGAAAGTTTGCCTTTTCTCTCATTAGACTGAACAACAACTCTAGGCTTAATCCCCAGGAATTTGGCTTAAGCCCCAGGAAGGGAATGAACTTAATTATTTTTGACCCTTTTTCAAACAAAAGAGCTTTCAAACTTTGACTTTTAAGCCTCAGAGTGAAAGATCTTTGTAAGGAATTTGTATATTTTGCTGTAAGCAGAGCAAGTAATATATGCCTAAGGCTCTCAGAAGCAATTTAGCTTCATCAAGTGCCTTCCAGAATATGAGAAAGGTATTTAAATGCCATAAGGTAGAACACAGGAACAAATGAAAGGCTATATGAAAACAAAAGATTTCTTATTATTCAGGTACTTTGCTATAAACTATTCAAAACAACTTTTCTCCAAAATCAAAAAATCTCAGTTGGGTTTTCTCCTAAACCCAGTATTTAACTTCATTCAAATCAGTAAGCTAATGAAAAACTTCCTTTGTTCCTTGTAGTATTCCCCCGGCCCCTCCTCCATGCCTATTACCCCAATTCCTGAATGATGGTTTATTTCCAAGAGAGTGCCAGGATCAGGACACTTCCAAGAAAGTCTCCAACAGAGCACAGTTATCTGCTCTGGTTAACAATAGCCCAGAAAAGCTGACACAGTATTTTGGGTCACAATATTCTTGGGAGATGAGGTCAGTACTGATGAATGTCTTAGAAGTTAGATGACACTCCATGGTCAACTTCAGGATACAACTTATTTGGGGACCCTCTGACTTATCCTTCTATCAGCCTGTACCTCGCACTAACAAAAAATAAAATAAACCCATTTGAAATTGTCTCAGTCTCTCCAGGGAATCCCATAATGGGTTTGGCCTCTTGGGCCTACTTGGATACACCCAAATCAAGAATTATCTATCTAAGAAGTATAGGGTTATGCCAACTTGCCTTTTAGTGGATTTCTTGACTGTGTTCCCTAAAAAATTTTTAAAGCTTCAACACTTAAAAATTATTTATGTGCTGTGTGAAGAGTAGGCAATACTTATAGGAATTCTGTGTGATGAAGAAGGGTTTTAGGAAGGAGATGGAACTTATGAACAAGAGCAATGCGAATAAACAGAACTTGGTGAGTTTGGATCATATGTGGAAATTTAAACTAGCTAGCTGTATAGTGTATTATGAACATGAGCTGTTGCATGTCTGTGTTACCTCTGCTGTGTCAAAGTCATTTCCTCTTAAAATTGAATTTGTAGACCATGAAATTAGGTCAGGATTAATTATGTCTGTGAGGAAGAAGAAAAGCAAATAGCTCACTCGATTTAATTAAATATGATACAATCACCACTACATACTTTCCTCTAGACCTGAGCTGTCTAATATGGTAGCCACACGTGTGGTCACTGAGCACTTGAAATGTGTTCTTATTGTAATTGAGAAACTGACTTGTAAATTTTACTTAATTTTTATAAACAAAATTTAAATTTAAAAACTGATTCTTGGTTCAATTATTGGAAAGCTTTTAAGTCTGTTTGTAACAGCTTGGGTGCATGAATCTATTTTTTTTTTTAACTGGAAATTTTATTAAATTTGAGAACAGATCAGATATTTCTGATGAAAATTTAGCATCCAAATTGAGATATGCTCTAAATATAAAAATACACATTAGACTTCAAAGACTTAATATAAAAAAAGAATGTAAAATATTTTATTAATAATTTTTATAATGACTACACATCAAAATGATAATATTTTGTATGTATTGGGCTAAATAAAATATACTACTAAAATTAATTCCACCTGTCTCTTTTTACTTATATATTTATTTAGTTAGTTTTTTTAAATATGTTTTTATTGGGGTTTTTTATTTTTTATTTTTTGAGAGAGAGGAAGAAAGAGGGAGAGAGAGATGGAAACATCAATGATAGAGAGACATTGATCGGCTGCCTCCTGCATGCCCCCAACCCAGGCATGTGCCCTGACCTGGAATCGAACTAGCTACCTCTTGGTGCATGGTCCACTGAGCCACACTGGCTGGGCTCTTTTTACTTTTTTAATGTGCCTATAGAAAATTTTAAATTACATATGTGTTTCACATTATATTTCTATGGACAGCACAGCTCTAGACCAGCTGCCTTTGAATCCAAGAAGGAGTGAATTATGAGGTTCCTTTGACTGGGGTGGCCTGCAAGGGTACACTGTGGTAACTCTGAGCCCAGAGTGGATCAGTGAGGTTCAAGGTAGATTATGGGGCATTCTGCACATATTAATTGCTGAAATAGAAGTCATACTTGTGAAGGTAGGACCCTCATAGAGCAAAAACAGCTGAAGTTTGTCTTTCAGGGACCTACGAGGGAATTCATTTAATTGTGACTGTAAACTGAAGTGGCTGGTGGAATGGCTAGGCCACACCAATGCAACTGTGGAAGACATCTACTGCGAAGGCCCCCCAGAATACAAGAAGCGCAAAATCAATAGTCTCTCCTCCAAGGATTTTGATTGCATCATTACAGGTAATATATTCCAATTTATTCCACCTCATAACATTCAAAGAAGGGCTACCTTTTTTGTGTGTGCAGGAACTGATATTTTTTATATCTCAAAAACCAACTAAGCAATTTAATTTTTTAAATATTATAAACTATTAAAACTTCATGTGTTTAAAAGCAAAGAAAAATTGCCATTTTACTGTTTTTCTAAAATAAATGCATTTGTTATGGACATTTGAGATCTAGCACACAGATCATTAGCACAGTTACTCAGAAACATTAGCACACATAGACTAGCACAGTTACTCATCGTGACTTCTTATTTCTGCAGAATTTGCAAAGTCTCAAGACCTGCCTTATCAATCACTGTCCATAGACACTTTTTCTTATATGAACGATGAGTATGTAGTCATCGCTCAGCCTTTTACTGGAAAATGCATTTTCCTTGAATGGGACCATGTAGAAAAGACCTTCCGGAATTATGACAACATTACAGGTATGAGAATCCTAACCATAGTTTGAGTGGAAAGTTAAGCTGCTTGGGCCAAGGGCAACAGGAAAAGATGAGTGATATCGGGCAACCTTAGAGACATTTTGAATCCCATCTTTACCATGTACTAAGTGACCCAGAATTGTTCCCTAAACCTTAATTTCCTCACTTGTAAAACTGGAATAATAATACCTAGCTCACATGTTGTCAAAGATAATGCAAGTACATATTCAAGAAACTTAGCATAGGACCTAGCTTAGTAAATATACAATAAAAGGTGGATGATTTTTCCTCAAAGAAAATGTATTGGAGTTCTAATCCAGGTTCTGCCACAAACTGACTAGGTAAGCCGCCACTCACTCTCACTGGGCCCCTCTTTTTCTTAACTTTAAAATAAGGAGGTTATTTTAGATCAGTGAGTCTCAAACTTTGTTGTACAAATACCACTTCTGCAAAATGTTAATGTATGCTTGTGACAAAAAGGGTTCTGTGGTCCAATAAATCTGTGAACCATAACTCCCTCCTGGAGATTCATAATAATATATCTTAGAGGCTCTGAGGAGTCCTGCAGTGAAAAAAACAAGCCTCTTTCTAGTATTTTTTGCATTTAATTAGACCATGGAAACCCCTTTTTTTCTTTTCCATGAAAACTTTTACTCAGGTGATCTCTTAGGCTCCTTTCTCACTTCAACAACTTAAAATTTTTTTAAGTCATAAATTAGAACATGGGGCACCCTCTGTAATATTTACATCAGCTTTAGCTTCTAACACCTTTAAATCTGCCCCTAAAAGCTCCTAGACAAGACTGAGAGGTGATAATTAGATTTTGTTGGTGGTCATCAGCCCCATCGCTCAAAGGATCAATACAGGTCTGGGGCTTGCTTGAGAGTGAGGAGCCCAGATGAAGGAATCCCCTCCAAACTGAGGCCCTTCTAGAATCTTCCTTCTTTCTCAAGGAGAAAGACTATGCTTCCCTTTCTCCCTAAGCCCACCCCCCCTTGTTTTCCAATGGATTACAGCAGGGCTTTGTGTAGTCTAAAACCAGGCTCTCCTTACCTGTGCACAGTCCATCAATTGTTTTGAATGAATCTTTAGATGAGCACTTGAAAGAAATGAATCATGTATTTGCAGACTTCAGAATGTGTCATCTAGCCCTGCCGGGCGTGGCTCAGCGGTTGAGCTTCGACCTGGGATCCAGGTGATCAGGGTTCGATTCCCGGTCAGGGCACATGCCTGGTTGCGGGCTCGATCAATGACTCCTTCATCATTGATGTTTCTATCTCTCTCTCTCCCTCTCCTTTCCTCTCTCTGAAATCAATAAAGATATATTTTTTAAAAAAACAAACAAAACAACAACAAGCACTTCCCTTGGGAATGATGCTTAAAAAAAAAAAAAAGAATGTATCATCTAGTATAAAATGACAAATAGATGTAATATATGCGGTCACCATCCCTTCCCTCATCCCCAAACAGACATTGCTAATCTACCGTGGTGCTCTTTCTTGCAGAGTACAGGCATGGCCACAGAATCCTCCTCAGCACTCTCCAGGCAGACATGGCCACAGAATCTTTCTCAACACTATCCAGGCAGTCACTATTATCACCAGTCAATCAACATGGGTACATAGTTGGAATCTAGTGGCCATCCCTGATCTAGTCCCAACCTTCTTTGTACAGAAGAGAAAACTGAATCCCAGAGAAGTTAAGTAATTTTTCCAAGGTCACACAATCAGTTGAGCCCTGAAGAGTCACAAATAAAATAATTTTGCCTATAGATGGAGCCAATTAGTAGAAAAAGTTGATGAAGAACTTACTGCCCCAGAGCCCCCTAAGCTGCAGTCAGAAAAGGCCTGGGGCCTTGATTTGCCCTGTCTCTTTAGATTTCCCAAAGTCAAGCTCCGCCTAGGAGATCAGAACCTATTAATAAAAGGATACTGAGCTAGGCCACTGACAGACCTCATGGTGTTCTCTGAGATTTCCCAAAGTAACATTCATGAGCATTGTCTATGTACCCCTCTTCCTTCTCCTGTCTCCTGCCACCAGTGACCTGAAGGTTCAAAAAAATGATAAGTAGTATCGGTTTCCTTTCTCAGGGGAAAGTCAGGTTATTCTAGAGCAAGAAGCAGTTCACCCTTAGAGCAAGCCAATTACAGGTAGAGCTGTGGGCTGCCTAGACCACCACTCAAAACTTCTAGAACCTTGTAGGATCCAAGCCCAAGATGGAAGCCCTGGGACACCTAACTGTCCACCCCGTAGCAATGCTGGTAGGCCGGGGTTTGAATCCTAACTCTGCCTTCTCCTAGCAGCACTAAACCTCTCTGAGCTTCAGCCTGCTCATCTGCAAAAGGGAAGATAATAATATTTATCATTTAACCTTTTGGGAAATTTTAATGAGATGATTTGGCAAAGCACATAGTAGGTGCTCAATAATTGGCCATTTTCCCTACAATTACAAAGATTAGCTCATGATGTGTTAGGGAAAGCAATACTTTCTCTCTTCAAGAAATGAGAGAAAAAAACTCAGGCTATAGCCATGAGTTCTGAACATCTAGTGCAGGTTGGATGTGATATGACAACGTTTGCATGCTCCAAAAGAGGATGACCATCCCACTAATCTCTCATTTGTCTTTTCCCAGGCACGTCCACTGTAGTATGCAAGCCTATAGTCATTGAAACTCAGCTCTATGTTATTGTGGCCCAGCTGTTTGGTGGCTCTCACATCTATAAGCGAGACAGTTTTGCGAATAAATTCATAAAAATCCAGGATATAGAAATTCTCAAAATCCGAAAACCCAATGACATTGAAACATTCAAGATTGAAAACAACTGGTACTTTGTTGTTGCTGACAGTTCAAAAGCTGGTTTTACTACCATTTACAAATGGAATGGAAATGGATTCTACTCCCATCAATCCTTACATGCGTGGTACAGGGACACTGATGTGGAATATCTAGAAGTAGCCAGAACACCTCAGGCACTCAGAACGCCTCATTTAATCCTGTCCAGTAGTTCCCAGCGTCCTGTAATTTATCAGTGGAACAAAGCGACACAATTATTCACTAACCAAACTGACATCCCTAACATGGAGGATGTATATGCGGTAAAGCACTTCTCAGTGAAAGGCGACGTGTACATTTGCTTGACAAGATTCATTGGTGATTCCAAAGTAATGAAATGGGGAGGCTCCTCCTTTCAGGATATCCAGAGGATGCCGTCACGAGGATCTATGGTGTTCCAGCCTCTTCAGATAAATAACTATCAATATGCAATTCTTGGAAGTGATTATTCTTTCACTCAAGTGTATAACTGGGATGCAGAGAAAGCCAAATTTGTGAAATTTCAGGAATTAAATGTTCAGGCACCAAGATCATTCACACATGTGTCTATTAATAAACGTAACTTTCTTTTTGCTTCCAGTTTTAAGGGGAATACACAGATTTACAAACATGTCATAGTTGATTTAAGCGCATGACACACAAATTCTGTGGCTGCCATCAGAAACTTTCTACAGTACATGGTCCGGATGAACTCAATGCATGATGACTCTTCTTATCACACTTGCAAATGAATGCCTTTCAAACATTGAGACTGCTAGGCCCAAGCACTACCAGTATCTCCATCTTTAACTGTCCAGTCCAGTGGTGTGGGGAGTTACCTTTTATATGAGAAAATTGAATTGTGTAACTGTTCTTTGCAGTGAAGATGTGTAAATAAGCATTGAATGGTATCTGTTGCTCCAAAAAGAAATATTAATATGTACTTTTCCATTTATTTATTCATGTGTTCAGGAACAAATGCCAAATAAAATGTTTACATTTTCTTTCATATCACAAGGTAATTATTTAAGGGAGTTTTTCCTTGGTGATGGTGATGTTGTTAAGGAAATAGTTTTATACAATAAGGTTATATTTGAATCAAGAGTTTATGTTATGAATGAGTGAAGGTGAAACACTGATATTGATCACTCATAATTTATGAGCAGGTTTATCAGCTGATTTTGAACATTCAAAGGTGTTTCCAAAGGTTGTGGCTTTTAGGAACACTTTGAGGTAAAGTGGTGGCAAATTAAAAGAAAGGTAGAGAAATTTGCTTATTACATGAAGACTAGTTTGAAATAGAAAAGAGTAAGATACATCCTTTCCTGTCCAATAGCTCCAGCCACAGTGATCATTCAAACAACTTATAGGAGAAGCTAAAGCCAGGACTTTGGATTTTAAAAACCCTATTCAGGGATTTTCTAAATATCTGACTCTAGAGTCATCAGGCAGCATTGTAACCTTATAGCACTTGCCTCAGATATACCTGAAATGAAGGCCTCTTGGTCTCCCCAAGGATACTTTACTTCTAGACACCCATTTTGATACATTATTCTCATGCTGCAGAGTGCCAGAAGGGTCATATTTGATTTTCTCAACTGCTGCTCCTGGATCACAAGGGTCATTAGCACCTAGCACAATGCCTGTGCACTCTTTAGGCCCTCAAAACTGCTTTCAAAGGTGCACATGTGTCCTCCTGTTATAATCATAAACTTTATGAGGCCCTTTGATCTAATCAATCAGTATTTATTAAGTATCTACCTAATAAGAACAAAGTATCACTCCTGTGGTGGAGGGAGAACTGAAGCAGAATAAGACAGGGCCCTTGCCCTCTGGGGCCCGAGAAGATGCCCTGGGGGTTAGAACATAACAGAGCAAGCAGTAAGTGCCAGGTATCATCTGGACATTCGAATTGTAAGTATCATGAGAGCATCAGAGATGCCCTCCTGGAAGAAGGAGTCCTTGTCTGAACGTAAGGGAAGAGATGAGCTCAAAAGGGGATCATGACCCAGAAGATATTCCTGGCACTCGGCTCTGCATGCTGCCTTTACGGAAAGGATCGGCGCTTTCCAGACCATTTTTCCCCAGAGTCTCTGACAGAACAACTGTGGGAAGCCGGGAGGGGGAGGATGGCAACCCCTCTGCCAGCACACATCTGGCAAACTCGAGGCATCAAAGGTACACACAATCACAATAGCCTCCCGGAAGCAACACCTTGGGGAGTTACGCACAGGAACCCGACTCCTTCACAGCCTGGAGAGGATACCAACTCTGACATCAGGCTTGGGGGCGGGGGGCTTACCCACTCCCGATCCTACGCAGGGAGAACTGGCCTTCAAGTGTCTTCCTTTTCTCAGTCCCCATTTCTTATAGGCAGCATATATGCTGTTGGAGAGCACCTGCTTCGTAGAGACAGGGCTGCCATGTGCTGTCTTTGTCCGCAGACAAGTTACTTAACTTCCCTGAGCCTCAGTGTCTTCATCTGCAACTAGACAGTAATACCTCCTCCAAGGACAGTGGAAGAATTAATGCGCACGCGGTGGATTGAACTTGTGAAATACAGCGTAACTGCATCTCCCATCCCAGATGCCCTAGGAGAGCCTTGCCCTCACCCCATCAAGAGGTGGTGCCTAATTCCCTGTTCTTAAACCTGGATGGGCCTGTGACCAATAGAATGCGGAGGAAAAGATGCCGGTTGGCTTTGGGGGCTGGGTTATCAAACGAAGAAGCTTTTGCCTTGTGAACCTGAACTGCCACGTCAGAAGTCCTAGTAGCCTGAAGCCACCATTCTGTGAGGAAGCCTGGGCTTTGGTCGACAACCTCAGCTGAGGTCCCAGCAAACAGCCAGCATCCAGCACCAGTCCTGTGAGGGATGTCTCCGGGGGATTTTAGCTCCCAGCTGTCAAGTCGTCACCAACCATCAAATTTTCCCAACTGTGGCCCTGGACATTACGGAGCAGAGACAAGCCATCCCCATGATCCCCTGCCCAAGTTCCTGACCCATAGAATCGATATGCATAATAAAATGGTTGTTTTAAACAGCTAAGTTTTGGGGTGCTTTGTCACAGCCCAGCAGTACGGGAATAGCACCTATGCTTAACACAGAACTGGCACAAATCAGCACTCGCCAAGTGCTAGCGGGTTCCACGCCCATAATACTGCATGTGTTTGGGTCATACTCTGTCTTTACTGCCTTAATGTGATCCACTGTCATTTTATTTTTAAAGGCTCTCTCCTGTTTTCAATACATTATCAGTGTTCTTGCTCTGGGCCAGGCACTGTGCTGAGTTCAGGGATGCAGAGATGAAAGACTTCGATTCTGCAGTGTTTGTTTTCCTAGGAGCACTGACTATTCATGTTAGCAAACCACCTCTCTAATTAACCTTAAATCTCAGACGCAGAGATGTGAAGCAAGTGGGGTGAGATAGGCCACAATCCGGGTCTCCGAACACTTGGTCCAGTCCTTGGTCCATACCATGGTGCCACCTTTCAGAACCTCCCCTTTCATTTCAAATGGGATTGTGGGTGGGGAGCAAGGTGAGAAGTGAGGAGGCTGACTGAGAAAATAAATTTTTAAAACACTGAGAAGAACAGAAGGTAGGGCCCACTGGACCAGTCTTTTCTGTGAGTTGCCCTCTCTCCCTGTAACCCTCATCTACCTTATACTGTATTACTCTCCGGCCACAGATGATTGGACCTGGAGTGAACTCCTGATCCAGGTGTTCAATCCAGAAGCTGGGCTTGGCTACTGTGGCCATGTCAAACTGCTATTAAAGTTTCTAAATGTTTTCTCTCAAGTTCTGTACTTATCTCATCCCAAACTGATTCTAAACTTTTCCTAGACTGGCACTGGTCCTAGGACTACATCGACAGGTACACTAAACTAGTCAATGAGAGCTCAACTCATTCATCTCAGCTCTTACCGTTATACATCAGCCTTAAAGTTAGGTGTATATGCATTTTAATATGATTGCTATCAAGGGCATGGGGCATCCAGGGATACCACAAGCCCAGGAAGACCTACAATGGCCCTAGAAAGTCTTGAAGGTGGAATTCAAAATCTAGCCCAGCTTCTCCTCCCGCTCCGGCATCCTCCACTTCACCCACACTCCAGTTACCCACACAACTTGACCAGCCCTATTTACCTAAGCACATGCTACCGTGCCCAGGCTGCTCCAGCCACCTACAATGCTCTCTCCCCACTCTTCTACTTTCAAAAATCATGGTCCCTCTCCTCCAAACAGTTAAATGGCATTCCTCCTTTCTCTGGCTTTCTCAGCCCATTGCTTTTTCCATGAGCAAGGCTCATAATTCATTCTGCCTTGCATCATAGCTAGTTGTTGTTATATCCATCTCTCCACCAAGTTACACATTCCTGAGGTCAGGACTGTGTCTTAGGCATCTGGGATTCTTTCTCCTATCCCACCCCACTTTCCACCCTGTAGAACAGTCCTACTTTGTAGAAATTCCATAAAGTTGGTGGAAATGAAATAGCTTTAAGCAGCTCCAGCCTTTCTGTTTGCATAGCTGAGAAGCAGCCACATCCCCTACTGTGAATTCTCAGCCCTACAAAGAATCCTGACTACAATCCTGCTTCCCAAGGGTAATCAGGTTGGGCTGGAAGATGAGAGACACAACTTATTTCCTGAGCAAATCCTTATTAAAACAGACTGCAGGTCTACCTAAAACCTGGTCCACAGAAGTAAAGAATGGGAACCAATTTAATTAATCCATGGAGACCCAAAGGGCAAGAAGCTTGATACTAACACTTTCGGAAAGTCTATGCCCTTTGAAATTTTTATCCCTAGAGAGGGATCCACGTCCATGGTCAACACCACTCAGAGATCCCCAGAGGGAGCATCTTCCCCAGCTGAAGCTTTTAACAATAATTCCCAGCAAATCTGTGTCCCAGAAATCAGTCGTCTTGACAGTGTCTGACCCCAAGACAGCTGTCCTCTGCATTCCAGTCTCTTGATCCTATCTTCCCACACATACTTAAAAATTCTAAAAACCCCAACACTTTAATATGGAAGTATTCTTTAATATTTTAATTTAATTATTATAATTTAATTATAACTATTTATATATAATAATTTATATATAATATTATTATTATAATAGGCTCACTTACTGTGAGCCAGGCACTATACTAAGTGCTTTATCTATATTATCATTCCATCCTCTGTAATTTTATAATAATAGCATTGTTTTACAAATGAGAAAGCTGAATCTTAGAAAGGCTAAGTAACTTATGTACAGTCATATAGTTAGATAAGAAGCAAGGTCAAGATTCATTCAGATAGTGTCCAGCAGTGGCACCATGCTATGAAATGCTTGAAGACAAAATATATATTAATAATTCAGTACTCTGTGAACTGCCAGATGGATACCCACTCAGGAGCCTGGAGTGCCCAGTAGCCTAAAGGCTACTGATTGATATTTACACCTATGGACACAATGAGCCCAATTTCATTGAAATGCTTGTTTAACACCTACTATGTGCAAAGCATTATGGTAGATGATACAAAGAAAGCAAAAATGAGCAACAAATTTTCCCTACCCTTAAAGGATTTACACACCACTAGGACTCATTTCTAAATTTCTTATTTGCAGCATTAAATAAATAAATAAATGAGGCAAAGTAAGTTCTATTGGGATCTAAAGGAGAAGTGAAACATGATCCATGTTTTCCTGTTTTCTTGCCTGTAGATCTATCCTTCTGGTGCCTACAATATTTCTCTCTTTGGGGCAGTGGGACATAGTGGTTAACAGCATGTGTTTTAGACTCAGGCAGACCTGGATTTGCATCTCAATGTGGCTACCTACTAGTTCTACGACCCTGGGTGAGTTAATCAATTTCTTCTGTAAAAGGTGAATAATGATCGTCAGAGAGTAGGATCATAGATTTAATATAAGTCTCCCAGCTGTCCCAGGAACAGGCTACTATTAATCCTTACATTTTATTGAGGAGATGAGTAACTTGCTGATGTACACACAGCCAGCAAGCCTGACCTGGGAGCCTATA